CCCCCCCCGCAAAAAAATCCGAGCCATAAATGGCACCTTTACTGAAACACGTTTTTTGAAATTCACATATATTCTGATATCTCCAGTAATGTCCCCCATTGAGCTCAGCTCCTAGTTGTCATTTTACAGTTTTTCTTTTGAAAGGGTTTTTTTGGACTTTTGATTACTTTGACTTCTCTTTTGTTCCTGAATACATTACCTTTTCTGTGCAATTGTCTCAGTGCAGTTCACAGTATTCTTCCTGTGATTGCAAAATTCTTTTCTTCAGGTCTTGTCCTTTCTTAGCACTGTAATGGGGGATTGAGAGTTTTGTGAGTTTTCTGATTTCTAGCAGAAATGTGATTTGATTTTATTAAGGCTTACTATAAGTAAGTCAGGCAAATAACATCAAATGTCACAAGAAAGTCCTGACAGATATGAAAAATAATTGCTTAAAAATGTCTTACAAATGGTAAATGTAGTCTAGATTTTTTTAAAAAATCCTTAAAGACAATTACGTGTTGTTCTGCTCTGGATTACCACATTTACCCTCATACATGGCCTGCCACTCTGTGGAATTTTCAATGTTGTGTTAGACACTAGTTGCTATTTCTTTCTGGTGTTTGGTTGAATAAAAAACTTAAATTACTACAAGTACTTTAACAGAATAATGGCCAGTGTTAATTATGAGAGAAGCAAGCTTTATTTATTGTTATCTTTTACTGGACCAACTGTAACATTGGGAGAAACATCTTTTCCAACTATGCAGTTTTCTCCCAAATATAGTCGGTCCAATAAAAGATATCACCAAAAGAACCTTGTTACTTTCATATTTATTGGCCTATAGCATCACTCTGGTACTGCAACATTAAATTCTCTAAGATCGCTAATTCCTAGTATGAGTTCTCTGAAGATTAATGGTAAAATTAATTAAATGTTTGGGCTTCATAGGTATTTTCATAAGTACATTCCAGACATCCTGGAACCTAAGTGATGCCCTCCCAATGCAGTGATCTAGAAAGGCTTTTTTTGGCTGTGACTCAAATATGTCTGAGCAATTTATGGAAAAGGGAACAACTTCAATGAGACACATTAAAAGACCTTGTTAGTAGGCCTGTGCAAATAGGGAAGTATTCGATTTGGATTTGGCCGATTCAGAGGACAGTGATTTGATTTGGATTACTGTCCTGAATCGATTCCACCGAAATGGCTTCAGAAGATTTGGTGCTGATTTGGAGATACTCAGTGATTCCGATAGGCTGGGGAGTGCCAGGCACAACCAGGTAGCTGCAGGTTCTCCTGAAGCTCCTCCGGCTGTGCCTTCCCCTTCCTGGGTGCGGGGAGCTAAAGGAGAAGCCCCCACAGCTGCCCTGCCTGGCCCCATCCCTTGCCCGGCCCCAGCTACTCTGGCTGTGCCTGCCTCTGCCCCAGTGGAGGAAGCCACAGGGTCTATGCCCTGCTGTTGCTTGCCCAGCTGGTGCGGGAGGGCTCAGGTGCAATGCAGGCGTGGCTCACTCTGGGCAGCAGCAGAGCATAGCCTCCACTCCCAGTGCTGCCGTGCTTGCCAGCCAGCATGGAATGCAGGCACAGCAGCGCTGGGAGTGGGGGCTATATCCTGCTGCCACTTGCCCCCTTCCTGGAGTAAGCTGTGCCCATATCCCACCCCACCACCACAGCTTGGCAAATGGCAGCAGGGCAGAGCCCCTACTCTGAGCACTGACATGCCTGCATTCCACCCCCTGACCTTCCTCCCCAAGTAACGTGCCCCCCCACCCCAGCTGGGCAGCTTGTTCCAGCCCCAGGCCCAATCCCTCCCTCCCCCATGCCCCTTCCCTCCTTCCTTTCCCAACCCCAACAGACTTACGAGCTGGAGGCAGCTGTGTCAGCTGCCTGTTGAGTCTTTGCCAAAACTCTGAAGCGGCTGAATCTTTTCCAAAGCTTTTCCGAATTGATTCAGATGCTTTGAATCAATTCAGAGCATTTAATTGGTCTCCCGATTCTATTCAGATTTGGAGATTCAGCCCCTGAATCGGGCCAAATCTCCTCTGAATCTAATGAGCTACTGAAACTTTGCACAGCCCTATTTGTTAGGTCTCATGACAGACTTTGTTTCAATATCTGCTCTTACCCAAACAAAGAGGGAGCATGTACTTCAATCTCTAGCATCCCAGCTGAATGTTCTAACTAATGGTAGGGGAAGAAAATGCCATGGCCATCATTTTCACTATCACTGTTGCCATATTTTGTTAACACGATTATTCTTCTGCAAATATACTGCTTTGTTTTTAGTAATGTACCTAGAAAATAAATGAAGAACTTCTTTTTAAATCAAAGGAAACATTAGATGTTTTGGAAAAAATCAGACTTGGGTTGATGCAATAGTCAAACCAAAATGAAAAATCAACTTTGTCACATAACCTCTACAAATATGACATGGACATGGGGAGATGGAGACTGAGATGGAGGCAGTCTTTGAATGAATGGAGTAATTTTCAGATAATTTTTAAGCTCAGCTCTAAAAGTAGTTAGTTATATCACTTTTATTATGGTTTAAGATCAGTAAAACTCAACTAAGGAATATTACTCTCTAAACCACTACTTCAGCAAGTAATGTTGCAGGCTATTCTTGTTTTTTAATGTGTTTCATAAGGAACACTTAATGTTCCAGGAGACCTACTGAAAACTGAAATTATAGTGCAGTTGTTTCTTGTTATAAGTTAAGATGGGTACTAAATTTTCTTAACTTGACTGAATTATGCTGCTACATTATTTCCTGTGCTCAAAGGTTTTTAGATTTATAATGGTCTTGAAGTAACCCTGAGACATAAAGAGTCCTAACTTACTGGAGACATCTATGCTTCAGTAAACAACAATAATCTCTCCCTCCCATAAACAGTAAAACTTTCTCTAATAACATTTGAATTTAAAATTACTCTGAGACATTTATAAGCGTCAGTAGACACATGGGTGAGGCCTCTTTGTAAACTGATAATTAGTTGATGTAATATGAGTGACAGCCTTTTGTTTCTGAGTATAAATGGTGCTGAGAGGATAGGAGATTAATGCTGGCAGACAACCAGAGATCATCCAGATTTTGCCGGATATCGTCCACCTTGCTAAGGCACAAGTTGACACTGACTGCTTGAGACACTGGCTGGTTTGCAAGAAAAATGGAAGGTGAGTGCTCTTGAGTTTTAATGCCACATGATTTAGAACTGGAAGCAGGGGCCAAGAAAGTCAAGCAGCATAATGCATCTGTTAAAAACTTGGGGAAACTCTTTATTTACTGCTGATCCTGATTCATGAATTCAAGCCAAGAGATATTTTCCATGGTTCAGATTCTCTTAAATGTGATTTTTTTTTTTTCAGAAAAAAAAATAACATTCACTAGGATATGAATCTTATAATTTGAAAATGAGATTTTTTTCCCTAAGGAAAATCACCAAGAACCAAAACCAAACCAAACCAAAAAACCCTTCCAAAAAACTTACAGGCCTTATGAAGAGGAGTTGGTAAAACAATTTTTGAGAGGTATATGAGAGAAAATGATATTTTAAACGGTCTGCAAAGCCCAAAGTAAAAATGTGTAATATTTCCAGGCTATATTTTTCAGGTGTTTTAGAGATAAATCCCCACTGTTGAGAAAATGAACAGGGAATGTCAGGGGTAGTGTATTCATTGGCCAAAGAAAACCATTCAGAGGTATTGGAGCTGACTATCTCTTAATATTTGTACTCAACTATTTTTTTCTGTAAGAGAGCAACAGTTAGAGCTCTACTCTAAAAATATATTCTGTCTATGCTACTCAGGTCTCACTGTTGCCTTGTCAGACATCATATGGGATTTCACTGAGAAGTTTGTGGGTAGGCCATTCAAATGTGATCTGGGTTCCACTGGTCTCCTTGCCCCAGTTCAGCAGAATTCAGCTGAACTTAATATGAATATTCTACTTTTTGTCTTGTTTGACAATCTCTTCCAGGGAAAAGATGAAGACACTGTTAACTGTTTGGTTACTGATTTGCTTAGGAGCTTGTTTAGAATAGTTTTACCCTTTTTACTGAGAAATGTTTTGGGTTTTAGGTTGACAGTTCCCATAAAACAACCATTATAGGACTTTTTCATAGAGGTTTTCATAGAATTCCATTCTGTCCCTCCTGGTTATTCAACATGTGTGATACCTTAGGAACATTAGAAAAGAAATATTTGTAGTGCTTCCATGTGTGAATGGGACTGAGCTCTGTTTTCATCTCTCAGCTGACTCACGCTGAACAGCTGAATGACTTACCCTTTACCAAATTAAGGAATTTCTCTGGAGGGCTGCAGTGTATTTGCTGTTCCACAACACCTATGCAGGCATATGGTCGGTCTTTTTCAGTATTCATGGAGGCTCCTGAACCTTTATGATAATTGAATCAGTTAGAGTGCTGAGTGGAGCAAGCATAAAACCTGTTAACCTAAAGGTCAGATCTGTGCATTGTTTATTTATCA